TAGACTTCTTGCTTAGCACGTCACCAAGAGGAGAGCACGGGAAGTTTATCTGCACCTCCTTAAGGAGCCCAAGGCTGGCTAGACTTCTTGCTTAGCACGTCACCAAAAGGAGAGCATGGGAAGTTTATCTGCACCGCCTTAAGGAGCCCAAGGCCGGCTAGACTTCTCGCTTAGCACGTCACCAAGAGGAGAGCACGGGAAGTTTATCTGCACCACCGAAGGAAGAAAACGGTCCAATCATTGACCACATTTCATGAAGAGCTCCCCAACCTCTTCCTTCCGTGGAGGATAAGTCGCGATCTCCACCAAAGATAATCTCTAAGCTGCGATAAAGAAGCCTTGAGGATATGTTATGATCTCCACAAGAATGATCTCTTATCTACTATAAAATGGCTCTAATCTGAGAGAGAAGGTGACACATGCTCCATCAGAGACTTACAGAAGACGAACCGACTACCGGAGATTATTATTTTCTCTGATTCTCTACTCCCCCTCTCAAAGCTTGTATCTCCATTCTCCATACCTTTGAATCAATAAAATACCCGGCAACTGAAGCCATTGAAGAGTGGATGTAGGTCGAATTGACCGAACCACTATAAATTGTGTCTTCTCTAATTTTTTCGTTGATTTCATCGCATTTATTATCTATACTTGACAGGTGGTGTGCAAAACCATTTTTGTGCATCATCATGATCTTCTGGGATATGACTCAAAAAATCCTTGGTCAAGGCAAAATGACAATTAAAAAAGAGTTTCTAATTGATTATTAAGAGTCATAGTCCTAAGATCGAACACATAAGATTGAATTAGGGGTTTGACAATAATTTCATACCCTAGTAAATCAATTGGGGCATTGTATGATAGAAGGATTGAATTACATGACAACTATAGACTGAATGGGTTCTTTACCTAATTCGTGTTATCCGAAGTTTGATCATGATATACTGCTAGGTGTCACTCATAATTAGTAGAAGCTCGAAGAATAAAATTAATATAAATATATTAATTGTTCTTCATAAAGGGAGAATTAGAAGAGTTCTAATTCAAGCTAAATTACAAAGAGTTCTAATTTGAGATGCTACTTGTAGTTAGTATCGAATGCCTACAACCGGGTATGCTTGAACCTATAGGGTCACATACAATAGAATTGATTAGAAAATAAAGGATAAAAGAGAGACAACCAATTAAGAGTTAATTGGGGTAAAAACCTAATTAAGATTTAATTATGGACTTTATTACAATTAATGTTAATAAATTGGTTATATGTAATTATGAGATAATTGTACCTTGACCAAAACTAGAATTAGAGCTTTTAAAGCTCCATAAATACCTTTATGTAGGAGATGGATATAGATGATATAACAACTCTCTTGCTAGTACAAGAAGAACCACACCTCATTCTCTCTCTTTCTACTAGTTTATCAATGGTTGAAGTAGATCCTTCAAGTTTGTCAATTCGTGTGGATACTGATAGAGGCCAAACGTTTGCGAGGCCCGGGATAAAGATCAAATTCAGATTTAAAATTTTTTGAGAATGCTTGAAGATTGTTAAAGGTACGTTTCAAGAGGTAACCCTTAATCTTCTCTATAGATCTAAGGTTTCTCAGTTCGTATTAAACATGAATAGATCTTGGTGTGACGAATCAAATTATTATTTTTAAATTCCACGGCGTTTATTATATGATTTCTTTCAAGATGGACGTGCCATCTTAAATATATAGGGGAATCACAAGCTGTTCTCAAAACTATTGTTTTGGCTATTTTGAGCTTCCTAGATATTACAAACTAAATTTAAATGCAACAAGTTGCAGCAGACAAACAAGAAAAACAAAATGTAGTTTGGGTTTTTGTGAAAGTAGCTCCTATCTAGTTGTCAACAACTACAGAAAGAAATGATTTCCAGCAGAAATTGCAGCAAATGAACTACTAAAGCGGATTGTAGTTCGCGTTTTGTGCAAACAGCTGCAATGTTTATGTTTACTACCACTCGTAAGATAACATGATAAAGAGATACTTAACTCCCCCTTTCCCCCAACCCCAAAACAAAAAAAAAATGCAAACTAAAAAATAAAAAATGACACCAGTTGCAAGAAAGTTGTGTCAATGAATGTCAAAGTAATAAAACACCAAAGGAAAACAAAAGAATAAAGATAATCAAGCAAAACAACACCATACCAAGGATTTTTCTCTTTTTCATGTTTCTCATTTTTTGAAACTTAACTTGGTTGCCAAAACATCATATTTGCCTTCAAATTGAAAAGGAATTCAACAAACGCCAGTGTTTCCTGTTTATGCTGCACTGTTGACCAAAGTAGAGGAGTTCATTGAACAAATTTCTGTTTTGGTGAAATACCTAAAGAGGCCCTTTTATTTGCCGACATTAACTAAAACAGTTAAGCAATCCAGAAACATTAGAAGACAAGGCAGTTTTTTTCCATGGAGCTGAATACATACCATGCTGCATTGCCCAATTGCTTCATCATAGCGCTTGAGCTTTATCATGCATGCTGCCATGTTAAGGTGGCAAGGATTTTTTACTGCCAAAGCCATATCCCGATACTTGCCAAACAACTGAAACATGAAGTCATCTCCCATATATGCTATGGCCTACTAGTGTAAAAGGACAAAACAAGTTGTTAGAAAGGGGAAAATTATCAAACTCACTCAGAAAAATAATTAATACTAGAAGAGGAGGAGTATCCAGAACAGCAGTTTGTAACCATTTCATACTGTTGCATAGCCTCCTCCAGTTTTTCCTCCTTGAACAAAGCATTTCCATCCATCTTTCTTTTGTCAGCGGTACCGATCCTTTCCTCTACTGTCATGTCACTACGAGCTTTCCCCTGCAAAAAATTTCATTGATCGCTCTAAACTGTTAGCACCCTAATAGACCAAACTAAAATATTTTGAGATTGAATGAATAAATTCATCTGGAAGTAATCAACTGACAACTCACCTCTTTAATTTCATCAAAACCAATAAGCTCAACCTCATATAAAATATCCGCCATGGGAGGAACATTTGGGAACGAGAAGTTTCCTTCTTTGCCATAGCCCAATTCCCAACCCACATGTAACAAGGCACGTTCACCAGATTTCATGCGGCACACGCCAATAGCCAATCCCTCCATTTCTTTCTTCTCTGTTTCAGAAAAACCATTGGCATTTCACATTATGTTCAATGAAACTTACACTGCAAAAGTTTGTGACAGTCAAGTTCCAACAATTAGACCATAACATCACATCCTCGCACTCTGATGGTGTATATATAGCACATAATCATTATTCCAAATGTCATGAAATCAAATTCTGCGAACTGACTTTGCATAGATAGAAAAGAATTATTTAAGAAGGTTACTGGAGTATCACACTATTCTTTGTTCAGATTTATTGAGGAATAAACTACAAACTGAAAGACCAAAATAATAATAGAAGAGAGAATCACTTAAGCACGTACCTTTTCCTAAAACCAATTCGACCGGTCGTTGTTCAAGCCATGTGTCTTCAAACTTGTGCTGTGTGCTTTCAGTCCATGCCCTATAGTGCACTATCACACTCAAAATGGTCACTTAAATGTTCAGAATGCACAATCAAGCTAGCATCAAAACACAGGATCAAGTAGCACCAATTTATTATGCATACCAAACAATGTTCATGCAAACAAAAATAGCATAAGAAATTCATTGTTTCTTAATCACCATCAAACACACCACCAGTTCATAATGCCACTTCAGTTCGCCAACCAAATTTGCCATCAACACCACCACATCTAATTTCATGGCTATCACAACTCCATCAGTTCACCAATACCAAATCCTTCCAAAGATAAATGACCAGCTAATCACCCCCACCCCACCCCGCGCGCTGGCCTTCTCTCTCTTTCTCTGATTTTGTTGCTTCATCAAACATTGAGCTTCAGGCGGAGTTCATCAACACATTTCTTTTACCAACTAAGAAAAAAACTCCACACCTTCTGAAGTAATCAATCTGGTTCATAAGAGCAGTTATGCCCTGGGTGGCTGGGTATATCATCTTTGTTAACTGGATCAAGCCTTGGCAAATTAAGGTTATCATTAATTGGATACAAGTAACGTAACACTTACCGGCAAGCATGTTTTTTGGTACTTGTTTCCATTCTTTTATCAATGAACATGTCTTCCAATTCCCAAACAAGTTTTGTTTTTTATTTGAAGAAAACAACACAGAAACGTGTTGTTTTTGTATTCTTAATTACCAAGGAAAAAAAAAACAAAAACACTTACCAATCATAACCCTATTCCTTCTTACGTTTTAGGATCTAAGTCAAGAGTTAATAATCTCCAGTGCCTGCCGTAGGCATAGGTCGATGCCTAGGGCCCCAAAATGAAACAAAAAATTTGGGGGCCCCAAAAATTAATTTTTAGGATTGCTTAAAAAATATATAAGGCCTCCAATTTTAACTAGATTAGACAATTTAAGGTACGATTTGTTGACCCAAAAAAAAATGGAGATAAGATTAATGTTAGTAGATTCAATTGATAAACGGGTGGCCTCATTATACCCCTCAAATAAACAGATTGACACAAACTCGGCTAAACATGACACAAACCCTCTAAAAAAGTAAACACGACTACATACGGTAGAAACTCACAAGATTATAAATGGGACGAATTTTAACATAACACGACCGAATGATTACTCTTATATTACTTTTATTTTTGTAAGTTTGGCCTATTTTTCATGGAAATACTGAAAATATGAGTTGTCTCCACACACAATACTTTTTGATGTATTACAATCAAAATTAATTGAATGATTTATTATCTATTAATTATCTTTTGACAACAAACAAAAAACACACACAACATGACTAGAAAACATGGTAAATAGGAGTAGCTTACTATTCGAAATTTCTACTGACATTTGTTCTTTGAAAAATAATTTTTTACATTTAGAAATTTCAGTTCTCTTTTTCTATATTTTCAACTGATAGCAAACTTAATTTTGTTTTGGTTTGTGAATTCCAATTCCATTAATGGACTTGTATATACAAAAATTAATTACTAGTTTTGCATGTCAAAAACAAGAAAGATAATTTTTAAGGGAGTAGGCATTAATTTTTAATAATTCTTTGCTCGTATCTATATTATTACACATAGTAATGGGGCCCCATTTAAAATGTTCGCCTAAGACCTCCATTTGTGTCGGGCTCAAGACACTGATAAATGAGCATCCCCTCTATAGAACACAAATGTAAGAAAAATTAGCTGAACTGTCCCAAGATTCCCAACTCCAATAAAGTTACAGTAATATACATTGAGAATCTAGAAGAGAAGAATAAAAACAAATTCATCCACAAAATGGTCAGAAAATACAGAATATACTTTCCCTAGTTAATGCATATTATTTCCTTGGTGGTGCAGGCTGCACTTAACTGCTACGAGTCTATGACATATATGTACTAAAAGAAGAGCTACCTTCACAAATGGATAGTTCAAAGATACGAGCAAAAATGACAGCAATCAATTTGGTACTACAGGTTGCAGTTGCATTTGACATCACGTTCTCATCATTTGATCACATTCATTAATTACTTATATACATTTCGTTCTTATTAAGTTTGTTTTGTAGGACTACCAGCCACCAGGCCCCAATTGTTACTAAGCAGTGTTCTCAAATAACAGAGTTCGTTAAGAATTGTACTAGATGCTCTTAGAACCTGGCTGCATCAAGGTAATTATGACTAAATTGAATATAAAGGATAAAATGTTATGAATCACAATTCCAGACAATAGAATTGTAAGATAGCACCTGCACGAGCTTCAGGTACATAATTAAAGGATTTTTTATTAGTCAAATTCATGTGTTCGAAAGAATTTCTTATTCCACTCATAGAAACCATCTAATAGGGAGAGTTTGAGTCGGAAACAGACTTACAAAAGCATGTTGAATATTTTGATGGATTCTGACCCTGACCTTCCTTGATAATTTGCTTGGTCACTTTTTCGTGCAGTACTTCAACCTCAGAATCAACTCTTGGGGGACCAGTACCATCTTGAGGAAGTTCTCCATGCACAACTGAAGAACCTTCACTGGTGATTTCCTTTTCACCATCTTGATCTAAAAAGCGTTTAGAATATTGTCAGTGTAGATGATACTTCTCCATAGAAAAAACAAAAGAGATTCGCTCAATCATCGAAAATAAATTTCTTTACATGATTCCTCTTGTCCATTTGGCCAACGTATATCATGCATAAACTGGGGATATATACACACAAAAATAGGTAGATTTGCAATGCATTCATGGTTTTGATGTTGACCCAAAAACAAAGTAAATTTGCTTGGGAAATTCAACTGGCTTACCCTAATAAGAAACATCTTTATGGAGCATTAAGCACCCATTACAGCAATCAAAGTTCACACCCCTTGTGAACATTTCCTTTATATCTCAAAATGATATGTTACTTTAGAATTATAGATTGTCACACAGCCAAAGTAACTTTTGTTAATTAAACTTGGAAGATAAAGCAGAATAAATGCAAAAACATCTAACTGTATGACTAGTATGATATTTATAATAACTGATAAATTCCATGGATATCTAGGCATCATATTGATTCCCTTTCTAATCAAATGTGATTAAAAAAAAAGTAATTCCACACATCTTAATGTTGAAAAACAGAAGTCCAAATCATATCAGCTTAAATACTCTCTGCCATCCTACTATAACAATGAATCCATGTGGCTCAAGGACTCAACATGTACAATCTTACCCACAGACATATCAATACGTACATTTGCAAGTATAAAGTTCATTTTAGCTCCCGCATACAGGCCCATGCACTCCATCTACAAAACCGGCCATGCCTTTCTTACTCTTTGAGAAGAGGGGCATCAAAACCCACCAACCTGCTACTCAAATGTACTTTACGCTCGGGCTCTAGCAGAATATTCACACTACTCAAATGTTCATCATCAGCTAGCATGGCAGTCTATCGTGCAAATCTGGGAACGCCCTACTATACAATTTGCTCAAAAGATAGGGGGCCTTGCCATCCATACACGCATGTGGTAAGAACACCACAACATATATGGGTGTGCATACATACACACACACTAACATAAACATTTATGTATGTATGTATCTCAAAAATTAAGATTATAACCACAAAATCTCGATCTATTCAACTCAGCAAAGCATTAATCCCACCTATTTGGGGTTGGCTACATGAATTTTGTTTCTCTATTGCGCTATATCAAGGGTTATATGTTCAATTAGACCATAAACTATCATATGAAAATATACTATTTCATTCACAGTTATTTTAGGCTTATTTTTACCTTTCTCACTAATATCGATATGTATCAAATCACTCTTCTTTACTGGTGCATTACTAAGAACACCCAAGTCGATTCTCACTTAATTTATTTCCTATTGGTGCTACTTCTAAAATTTTACAAATATACTAGTTTCTAAGTCTATCATTTCTCGTTTTACCACACATTCAGCTTAACATTCTCATTTCTACAACACTTATGCGTGTTGTTTCTTAATTGCCCAACACACCGTCTCATAAAGCATTAATTGTCTAATGGATGTCCTATAAAACTGACCTTTCAAACTAAAAGGTATACACCGATCACATAATACATTCTATATATTCTTCAATTTAGTCATTTTGCTTCAATTCTATAATTAACATTGTTTCCAATCTCTCCCTCCCTATGGGTAATTGACCTCAAATAATGAAAGTGTTCGGTCTTAGGTATCGCTTGATCTTCGACTTTACTACCTCCCTATTTGGATTTCTACTATTACTGAAAAAACATCTCATATATTGAGTTTTATTTCTACTTATCATAAATCTTATTTATTCTAAAGTTTCTCACCAAACTTCCAGTTTGTTGTTAATTTATTGTTTAATTTCATCAACAATTCATCCATAATTAAGGTAAAGAGTTACGAACTTAAAGCGGAACCCAATGTAGACTGATTGAAAATTCACTCTTTTTTTCTCTCAGTTGTTATAACTGAAGTTATATCCTCATACATATCCTTTTTGTAACTCTCTTCTACTCTAAAAAACTTGTCCTATTATGTCACTAAGCACTCTATCATGTGTCTTCTCTAAGTCTATAAATATCATATGAAAATATTTCTTTTTTTCTCTCTGTGTTTCCATTAGTCTCCTAAATAATTATATAGCTTTCATAGTTGACCTTTCGGGCATAAACCCACATTGATTCTCAAATACAGTTGTTTCAAATCTTAATCGTTGGTCAATCACTCTCTCCCAAAGTCATTAAAACAAAGACGAATACGAGCTTTTAGCCCAATGTGTATATCCTAGACAATCACTGAAAGTTATTGAAATGACCTAAACAACAGATGTCATAGTCAAGAGAGATAACTTGATATATTCCTCTCTTTATCTTTTCCTTTTTATTGGTTTTTTAAGATCTAATGATTGTAGCATTGTAGCTTCTCTCCTTATCTTTTTTTTAAGTATATCATTCATATTTGACCCACATATTTCTCAAATGGGGTAAAAAAGTGTTCTGAACGATTCCCCTAACGTGTCCCGAATGTGTCCCCGTACATGTCAGGAATTGAATTTGAATTTCACTTGTTCACGTGTCCAAATGTGGTCAGAGTATGTCCCTATCCCACATGTCTCCGACAAACATATGCAGCCGAAGAGAGATGTCTATGTTTCCTAGGATCTTCTGATGACCATTTCATACTAAATTCAGTATTTAAGTAGCCACTATTTATTTAGCTTAAATTTGGCTACAAAGCAAACAGGAAGAGTCCACACAAGTACAATAACCGCATGGTTAACCATTAAAACCAGCACACACTATAGAAGGCATATGATGCATTGCCATTAGAACTTTCTATATATTTTCTAACAAACCAATTAATAAGTGCGTAAGATCTTAAAACATATATTTTCAGTGCTAAAGAAGGATGGAATTCGATTTGTTACCAATAGATTGACTTTGCTGCTGCTGAACTTCCTCCATTATCCAAAACTTGTGAAATCTTTCGTGAAACCCCCGAAATCTAAGAGCTCAAGAACACGGATTCGAATCTGATGGAATGAACAAAAGCAACAACCAAGCGATTAAATTCAATCAATAAACACAGAATTAACAAAGAACGTGATTTAACTGCAATTTGAAGGCTCCTATTGGTCACTGAGAAAATGTAGGAATTTATTTTAAAAAAAAATATCTACTGAACTGGGTTTACTATAATTATTGACTTGAGCTAATTCCTTCATGTA